ATATTCAATTGACTAAATAATACATATGTATATCCGGTTTGTGTTTAAGATACACAAGTGAATTATTATTGTATTATAATAAATATTTCATTGATTTAGTCAATAATTATTGTAAACCAATGCTTTTTTTTTAAAATAAAGAAGAAAAATAGTTTTCTACCAAGAAAGTTTATTATAGATTTTATCTTTAAGGTATATATATATATAAATATATATCATTAGTTGATGTTGTTTGTTGTTAAGTGACTGAGTGGGGGTGGAGGTGGGGGGTGGGGTGGGGTCTAACAACAACAACAACACACATACGCATACTAATAGGGAGAATAACAATAAGTAAACAGAATGAAACGATTCATTGTTAATCTGATTAAGGAACAGATAGGGTGAGGCTATTTAGTTACTGCTATTATTATTATTATTATTGTAAAGAACATAGTAGTTAATTGTTTTGAAACGACAAACGGAAATAATCATAATCAAAATAAAGAAAATCGTTGGTTATCATGATATTATAAATGGGTTAATATGCTTAGGTTATTAGTAATAAAGTATATTTGATTTCATATACAATAAATGTTAGTAATTCATTGTACTTATCTATTGAGTAAACTGATTGACACTATAATGTTGATAGGGATACTGACAAAATATACAGTTTTTGTTTGTTTTACTTACCTTGAGCAGTGATGTAAACCTTGTACAGACTGTGTATTTCTTCACTATCAACTCTTGAACTAATGATAAATAATGAGGAAGTTGAGCATTTGATTTTGGTCGATCGCATTTGATCTGCACTCAGTTCTACAAGAGGTTAATCGCGGCCGAGAAAGCTTAATGGTAACGTCTCTAACTGTGAAGCTGGGTGATATTGGATCGAATCTGTCAGGGAACATCAGTTCCCTAAAGATTACAGGTACACCTTGTTGACGAGTGCCAAAGAGCACGAAACCTAGGTTCAAGGTTTCTTGGTGACTACCTTCAATTACCATCTTATCTCAACATAGTGCACGCAATGTTGAAACACCTAGACTAGTAGCTACAATGCAACTTGATCGATAGCATTCGATCTGCACTAAGAAGGAATTGACATACATGACATTGATCACTACCCAGTGCTCAGTCAATTGTGGAAGTTGAAAATATCAACCAATTTACAAGAATTTGAAGTTGTATTTACCTTGGTAGATTGGAGCCTAATGAAACCATAGTATAAATTAAGAATGTTCAATTAGTGTTTGCCGACTGGTGCCACATGTTGTATGGATGAGATGTCTGTCGATCAACTAAAGGACGAGTGTATTATGCAATACTTCGTTCTGTTCTGTATTTAAAAATTGAGGATATTCATAGGTTACCAACATTTGATCACAGATCATTGATCATAGAGTACTAGGTAAAGATGGAAAATTGATTGATGAGTTAGTAAATATTCTTCAATTCAAGTGGTTGGGATATTTTTTACGTATGCTCAACCACCGCCTACATTGATGGACGACGTCTAATGTACGAGTAAGATGAAAGATCAGCTAAACTGAGATATGACATCAGTCCATGAAATCAGTGACAAATGAAATGAGCCATATAAATAAGTTTACACTAATAGATTGGAGTCCATATGGTTACTATAACCAATCATTGGAGATATTGAGGAATATGGATCAAGTTCATTTATTCCTTGTCGTTCATTAGAACTTGAATCCTGAAATTCACCTACACCTTTGCTCATTCTTTCCCTTTTTTAACGCTCAATCTGATAATATTCAATATGTATATTATAAAAGGAGAATTAGTCATCATCTATAAAAAAAACTATTCACAAATGAATATGGGTCCGAATCTCGCGAAGCGGGATCGTGGATGCCCACTATTGAAGAGTCCCATAATGGGACTAAACAGCTGCCCAGTGCTTCCAGGTTTTCCATAGTGGTCTAGCTTCAATTGACTCATGATTTCAATCAAAAACTTAACAATCTCCAAAACCCCTAAACTGATGATTGCCATACTTCATTAGCACAACAAAGTGAACATCAAGTTCTTAGGAGTAGTTACTTGAATGGCAGTAATTTATAAAAGAATGACTGTGTATAAGGATATAAGGATACAGGAAGGAAGAATTAGTTGGTATAAAGAAAGATATAAAGCAGTTTTAATTTCACAGTTTAAGGGAAGACAAAGAGTGTATAGACTAACGTCATTGTGATCGATTCTGATCCATGTCAAGTTTATAATTTATGGACGAACTAATTAGATTTAAGATAACAGATATTGAATTTTTTGAAGCGAAATTCATTCAGATTGGTTTTGTGGATATTATAGTAATTTCATTGTTTAAGATCATTAGTCAGTTGAAGCTAGACCACCACGGAAAACCTGGAAGTACTGGACAGCCGTTTCGTCCCATTGTGGGACTCCTCAGCTGTGCGCATTCATGACCTCGTCACCTGCGAGATTCGAACCCAGGATCTACTGATTTTGCGTGCGAGCACTTGGTGGTCTAGTTTCAACTGACCCATGATCTTAACCATCGAAATTCATTCGTCCATTTTGGTTCAATATCGTTTTAACATTTTAGCTTATGTCAATTGGTGATCAAAACCCTAAATCTCGTTCCTAACTCTAATTGTCAACTATAAATATTAATCTTAATTCCTCACACTGGTTTATAATTTTCATTTAGTACTGGTTATTAGGCAGAAGTTCTGAAGGTCATTTTAGCATCGCTCAAATATCGTCTATAAATTACAGTTTCATCGACTTGTCTCTAATCAAGGTATATTCGCCACTAACCTGAAATGATAATAGTTAGTGTATGATCACTTCAGTATTTACCTATTATTACACTTGCGTTTTTGGAGATAAAAAGTATTGACGATTCGATGTACATTCCATACAACAAAGTTCCAGAACAGTATCTTGTATTGTTGAAAAGAGTTAGAAGTAGATTCATAGGAAGTTCAATAAAAGAACACTTTGTGAATATGTGTTGCGTCATCATAAGTGACGTATCCCTTCCAATCATGTATTAGCTGCATAAGGACGATGTTTTTCTGTCTCATTTATATTGTTAAAGTCTTTATCATTGGCACAGAAAGCTCAAACTGTTTTCTTAAACTCGCATATTTACTCCCTTCTCTGATCGATTTCGATAATTTTATCTTCACTGGTGCTAATCCGTGTCAAGTAGAGACAGGTATCTACCTCAGACAATAGAAGATGGTTGCGAACCCCCTTGGATTAGTTAAAATTAGATATTAACACCGTTGGATGACAGTTCAGTAGTCTATGGGTCAAGTGTTTGCGCAAGAGACCGATGGTCCTGAGTTGGAGTCACACGTGCAGGATCATGGATGCTCACTGCTGAAGAGTTAGTTATAGATACCCAACTATGTGATGTGATAAATGTGTGTTTACACATGTCAAGTACTACTCAGTTCAGATAAATACAAAGTGGTATGTTCATACATCATTTCAATTTATTTACGAGATCTAATACATATCATTAATCCTTATGTGTTCACTGTTTGTTGTCGGGTTACGGTTTTCACTACCGATCAGAAGCCAGTTAAACATTCGTCTGATATAGTAGTAACAGACATAGCTCATACAATTTTATGCACTAGCTCAACGGTCACCGAAATTATTGACTGAAAAGGTTTTGTGTAGATCGATGTAATGCGTATTTTGTATTCGTCACAGATTAATCTCAGGGTGTTGTCTGGTTTAGGAACATTCTGTAGTGAACACTCACTGCCCCATAAAATATTGGCCCCAAAATCTTTAGGTTTCACGATGAAAACTGGACCAATAGAATCACTCCACCGACATTCATTAGTTCAGTTCTGACTTCAACCAGTTTGTGATATAGTATGACAATCATCTAGCATACACAAACTACACCGGTTACGAATGTTCATTAGAATTAGAATGTTACTGCTAGCCACTATCCATCTTTGCTTGTGAAACCTATTTATCTTTTGCATATTATTACATAATTAGCATTATGGGAGAAAGAAAAAAACATTGTACGAGCATTCCATGGGCCTAAATAAATGGTCGCTCTGGCTGTCAGAAGGGGCATCGGCCTCGTGACTTCCGAAGGAAATCAGCTTTCATCATGAGGCGTCATAACGCTTCTAAATGAAGACCTTCTGACTCCCAGGACAGAGTTTAAAAGGTTTGAATATTTTTTTCTGGTAAGCGTTTTTAGTGAGTTAGTTTTCTACGGGATGAGGTCGCTAACTCCATGCTTAACCTTCCCCCTTTATCCGGGCTTGGGACCGGCATCAGCCTTCGCAGGGACTCCAAGCGGAGTTATAATGACTGTAAGTGAAATACATCAAAATTATCTACATATATACATTATACACACATACACACACAGACATCTAAATAGACAAAATCATTTAATCCGTATATAGAATTAAACACCAAAATGTTTCCATCTCAAAATGAATATATTACCCACCCTGTTTATCTATCTATTACAGAAAATAACAACAATTTTCATCCAATCAAATATTCACAATTTTGTACTCATGACAATTTACTTCTCTTTCCTCAAATTTTTGTTGTTGTCTGTTTGTTTGTTTTGGATATACTATCCTGTCCTACACTATCCTAACAATACGACATTAGAATACACACCTATACAAATTGTATTCTCGAAATAATTATAATCATGATAGAATAAAAATTTCTCTGCCTTACGTATAAAAACAAATAGGAAATTAATCCACCCTAGTTACTACTCAAAATTCAGATAATTTTCTTTCTTTCTCTTTTTTCTAAAAACCCTTTCATGATAATTTTCATTTAAACCAATACACAGTTTATTTCATTAGTGACAATGTATATATATATAGATATAATTGTTGGTAATCATAATAGAAAAGAGAAAGAAAGAAATAGACAGAGTGGGAGTGGGAGAGTAAGAGACACTTTATGGATTATCACAGTTTGTTGTGAAGAGACTATATAATCAAAACCGAGGGGTGGTGGTGGAGGGACTCAATGAAACTTGTGGATAACATATGTGTCTAAACATAGATTGCATTTTTTTGAAAAAAAAGAGATAAGAATAACTGTACAGTTTTTTCTTTAACACTTCTGAGATATGTCGGTAAAAAGCAACATAATGTAATATTATGTAATAGATATATATAGACATATGTAATACAGTTTATTGTCCACAAATTGATATTATGTAATTGTTGCTAAGTATGTTTCCTGATCTTAATCAATCCCAAATAGATGAGCTTGATCATAATAATTCCCATGATATTCATTTAGTGAATTCATCATCTTCTGTAACATTATCATCTTCTTCAATGTCATTCACTTCACCAAAATCGACACCGACATCGTCGTCGTCGTCATCATCATCATCATCATCGTTATCATCATCTCCTTCGTCTGTCACTTCACCGACTTGTTTAACTGTATCATCCATTCATGAAATTTATCAATGTCGTTCATTTATGATACATGATATTTTAGATAAATCTAAACAGACTACTTATAATACTACTATGAATAATAAAGATAAACTATACAAATCATATAATGAACAAATTAAAACATTTCCAATGATCAAATCAATCATAAATAATAATGAAGAAGTACAAATCAATTATGATCATAATGATTATTTACATGATTATGAACGAAATGATAAATATCATATGAAACGAAAATATACTAATCATAATCATGAGAATGATCATGATAAACGTGTAGTTACCACAGCAACAACAACAACATCAGCCACTACCACCACCACCACCACAACAACAACAACACCATCCTTGATGACCATAAAAGAAGATTGTAATTCATATATGAATGTAGATAATAAAAATTTGTCAATAAATCTTATAAAATCTCAATCATATGAACAATATAAACAATCTATGAATGATACAACACAATTGATAGAAGGGAATTTAAAACAACTTTATACTGTAAAAGGTAAATATAAAGTGTTTCATTCTTATATTCATTAATTGTATCTCAGTAATAATAATAATAATAATAATAATAATAATAATAATAATTAGCACGGTTGGATGCCGATCGGCTCAGTTGTCTAAAGGTTAAGCGTTTACGCGCAAGATCGATAGGTCCTGGGTTTAAATCTCACAAGGTGATGGATATGCACTACTGAGGGGTCCTACAATAGGACGAAACAGTTGTTCAGTGCTTCCAGGTTTTTCATAGTGGTTTAGCTTCAATTACTTTATGATCTGGACTATTGAAATAGTAACAAGTGTTTGTAAGGGTATGTTGATCTTTATTGCATATGTGTACATACTGAAGGGATCAGGTCAATATATCGACATTTTGTATTATATTTCTTTTATAGTAAACTTGAATAGAAGCTATAAATGAAATATAACATGTGTTTCATCCTATTTTGGACTCATCGGTTGAGTGTAACTGCTTTTAATAATTGAGATCATGAATCAATTAAAGCTAGATCATCATGGATAACTTCGATGTATTTTCATAAGAACGATCCTTCTTTGTTTACTTCAACTATTTTGAAATGTTCTAGTCATATATTACATAACTGTATTTGACAGTCTAATAGGATTACCATTCTATAATCAGTAGGAAATAGAAATCATAGTAATGATATATTGATCTAGATCAGGAAGCTGACAAGATGTAGAAGTCTCATTGATTTACTTTATAAAATTATGAGATGGAACGTCTATAGTTCAATTTTTGTAGATTGTAAAGAGATAGTATAGAGACTTTAATGTTACATCACGTGGTTAGCGAGTCAGTTTTCTACGGGATGGGATCGCTAACTCCATGCTCAACCCTCCTCCTTTATCCGGGCTTGGGACCGGCAGTAGCCCCCGGGGGGACTCCAGGCGGAGTTCATGATACATCACATTCAAACATATTGAAATTTAATGACGATGTAAAATAAACAAAGTTTAAGTGGAGTGAAATTGGAACAGATCACTTAACATGTAGTGAACGAGAACAACAATGTTATTTACTTACTTGCTTAAGCCTATTACTCCCCGTGGAGGAGCATAGGTTACCCATCAGTGCTAACACCAATATATACAACTAAATATGACATTACAGAATCAATTAGTATGCCGGTTTAGTAGTCTATAGGTGAAACGTTTTGCTCGAGAGATCGATGGTCCTAGGTTAGAGTCCCTTTTAGAGTTGGATCATGGATGCGCACTGTTGAGGAGTCTCATATCAGGATGAAACGGTCATCCAATGCTTACAGGTTTTCCATGGAGGTTTAGCTTGAATTGACTCATGGATTATTACTGTATTTTAGAGTTAAGTCTAATAAAGATCTAATTTCAGACAATATTATTCACTAAATCTTATTATTCTAATATTCAATGATGTTACAAACATTAACGGATGTTAATCAAGTTTATAAATATATTATGCAATCAAATTACTTCTTAATCCCTTCATCAGTGTTTACCTTTATTAATCTAAACCACTCTAGTCAGTCAGTAACAACGTAGAACTTCGTACGTACATACATCAGTTCAAGTTGCCATACCACATTAATGCAGAAATACAGTTGTCGATTCAAATCCTGCAATGGTAGAGGTGGTAAGAGTATAAACAGTAATCGGAAACATTAAGGTTTGAAAATGTTATTCAAGGAGTATAATATAGTGAAATACCACTCTAGTGTTAGCATTTATGCCAATTTTAAGATGATGGAGAAGATTTGTAGCTTAGATGGATGCTTTCACAAACTTTAGGTCGTTTGTTCTGATGATATCGTTCAGAAGAACGATGAATGCTTCACAGTCAAACCATCCAGCTTAAAGAATAAAACTCCATCAAAACTTTTTGCCAATCTTCTCTTCTCGATACTTACTCTTATTAACAATAAACTGTAGTAACCTAGTCTATTATGGAAGTTCTGAGATATTGGCGAAGATTTGTAGCTCAGGTGGATGATTTTGATGGAGTTTTGTTCTCTGGGCTGGATGGTTTAGTCGTGGAGTGTTCATCGTTCTTCTGAATTTGTTGAACTTCTTTGTCATTAAATTAACTATTCCAAGAAATCTTCAGAAATTTATTTTATTGAATGAGAAATAAAGTTATGTCATTCAACTGTGATTAACCAAAGATGTAATAATGATATGAATGACAAGTTTATGGATCCTATTCAGAATGATAGTTAACATCTAGATTCCAAAGCACTGATTTACAGGTTAAACAGCTACTAAAAAACCTAAAGGTGCTGAGTTCGACTCCTGATGACGTCTTGGCTACTTGTTGTTCAGTCATCTGTTAGTGTAAGATTACAGTCATTTATTTCTCTCTAGTTTTAAATCGCATCTTAATTAATGTTGATTCGGGTCAAATACCATTGTGAATAACTCAATATTTATAGTTAGTGTTCTACGGGATAGGGTTGTTAGTTCTATGCCCAACCCTCCTTCTTTATCTGGGATCTAGACCGGCAGTAGCTTCAAAGGGGTTCCAGATGGACTTTGAACAAAACATCTTAACACTCATTCTACTACTTATTTCATGTATTTTAAGTAATATAGAGAGGGACTTTTTATGTTAAAACTTTGATAATTCTCATTACAATATATCAAGTGGTGGAGAAAATTTGTAGTTCAAACGGATGATTTTGATGGAGTTTTGTTTTCTGAGCTTGATGGTTTGATCGTGTAGTGTTCGTCCTTCTTCTAAACGACATCATTACCACTTCTACCTGAAGTTATGTATAAACAAAATTGAACAAAAATGAGAAAACTATTAGTAACATTGAATGTTTTTATGGCTTATTATAAAGTATGCAAATCTAAATCTTTAGATGTGATAATAAACATGACACAATTGATTAATCAAGTCTATTGGATCATTTTATATTATCATTGAGTAAGCTTCCATTGATTCCTTATATGAATGTCTTGAAGTAATCAAAATATCTGGTTATAACTTAGAAAAAATCAATCTCAAAGTTAATCACTAGTGACTATTATGTATCTAGGTGATTGAGATACCACCGTGTGTAATTCAAAATGATGTAAAAGTATTTTAGGGTTGATAAAAAAAACAAAATTTGGCATCAGTTCATGAAGTTAACTGTTGATTTTAATCATGATGAAAGATACAAAAACTATCTAGCTAGGGTCTTTATACCTTGTTTTAAACTTAATTCTCTAATGTTCAATCATTGTCCCTTCCAGTCAAACAAGTTAGTGAAGCCTAGTAGGCTTTCTGGAGAGAAACAGGCCACATCGAAGCACAGTAAAACCACCGGCGCTGGAATAGCTGTTTTTGCAATCTGTTGGAGTATGCCCCGTAGGGAGCAACCCTGTACATTCCACGCGATACTTTTTGTGAATTTTTGTCGTTTTTTGATGCAGGAGTAGTTGTGCTGTGATTGTTTGTGGGTTTCGGTCAAGTGGGTGATTAGCCCGATCTCTACCACTCGGGTTACCGCTCATGTTAGTTCATAGGTCATCCGTCCGGCTATCCAAGAAGCACGACGAGAACGAATGAGTAAGGTTTTGCCTCCCAATGTTCAATCATTATTCTACATTATTAATACAACAGTTATTTCAATTTAAAACTTGCTGTTCATAGAGTTAATTAGATTGATTGTTTGGAATGAATTTTAATGAATTTTAATGAGTTTCACTTACTTATGCCTGTTCCTTCCAATCGAGCATAGACCGCCGACCAGCATTCCTTAATTCACTCTGTCCTGGGCATTCCCATCTAGTTCTATCCAATTATTATTCATTCTTCTCATATCTGTTTCCATTTCTCGGAGTAATGTGTTCTTTGGTCTTCTTCGTTTACTTTAGCCTTGGGGATTCCATGTGAAGGCTTGTCTTGTGACTCATGTGAGTGCTTTCCTCAACAAATGAATAGTAGTAACAATTTAATTTGTAATAGTTTGGATTATCTTGATTGAAAGGTTTTTGATTGATTTTTGATCAGTTTTCGTTAGGATTTGTACATCCTATACGAGTTCATTTGATAAAGACATTAGGTCACGAGTTTATTTAAACTAGATAGAATGCGACTAGCAGAGGAATCCAAGAGATATGGTTCGTTTTCATCAATCCCAGGATGTAGGTACATTTGGTTGATGAGTCGCAGATATGGTGAAACACGTGTCTTCAATATATATCAGGTACAGTATTATAGAGCTTTTTTCCTATTCACTTGGTATTGTTTGGCTTGTACCTTCCCATTGAAGTTTAAGACTGCAATTGATCAGTCTGTTATTGGCATATATGCATACTGTGCGTATGCCTCGATATTGCCTTAATTCACAAGCTATCAGGACTCAGTAGCTAAGTGGATAACGCGATCATATTTTAAGTCAATGATATTGCGTTGGAGTCCCAAAGTGAACATCAACTCTGTGGTGCAAGTACATCCAGATGAAGAGTCCCAACCAAGACGAAACACGTATCCTGGATTCAACTGCTAGTAAAGTGACAATCATCTTCATACCTTCGAAAGCATTTGAAATCATCTTGATATTAGCAATAAGCTTTATATCTGATGAAATAAATTAGATCTAATATAAGTAGAAATCATTCCATGAAAATGGTAGAAGTAGAAGTAGTTTACCAAATCTATGTTCAAACTCATCTTTATTTAATTCAAACTCACATCTTGAATTTCAGTCATTGGATTTAATTAGACACATAAATTCTATAGTAGTTGTGCATGGTTACCCCTTAAAAAGTATAGCAACAAGATTGGAAAACATGATGAATCACTATGATGGTATATTTTGATATTTGTAGGGATTAAATTCATGATAGGATGTAAATATTTTATCAAACCATTCACATACTTATGTATCATAGAGACAATATCAACAATGGGATACATATGGAAATCTTTTTACAAATGAAATCAAAGCTTAAACTCATCATTACACAATTAAGAGACTATCTCAACTTAACAGTTTAATGGATAATAAGTTCAGTTTTTTTCTTAAAATGAAAAGTATCAGGTCTAAATTCTTGAGTGAATATCAACTTTGGAATATGAACTTATCAAGATGACGAACTCTGAATAGGAACAAATGGAGGATCCATCTGAGGGAGTTGAAAAACCCTCATTCCAAAACAATGATGTATATAGGATCCAGGATCCTAAGGAAACAAATAGTGTAGGAACCATTTGTTGGTGACCTGTTACCATGGGACTGCATCTCCTTACATTGCTCCACTGCCTTGTGAATTACACCTTTAAGTCGAAGGGTCAGGTTATGGCCACCTAAGAAAATCACTTGTTTCGGTTTGGGCACCCAAACAGTATCCCAGCCATCACATAAATTGAATGATTTATGTGATGCATATCTGTTTGGTACCTCCTTATATCAATGTATATGTGTTTAAATTAATAAATAAAGGAAAAAAAACACACATATATCTTAGATTCTATACACTGTCAACTACATTTCATCTGTTCTAGACAAACTTAAGATAACTAATAATTATTATTTTGTTTAAGTGAATAGAAAAACTGGAAAACAGGAAATCAACTATATAGTTTCCTTTTCAAATTAATTTATTATGTCTCAGACTACTAATAATACTACTATTACGACGACTACTACTACTAATACTACTAGTAATTATAACAATAGTAGTAACGATGTCAATAACTATTCTCTTTGGTATTTCAATAGTTATTTAAATTAACAATTTTTTGATGGAGTTTTGTTCTTTGAACTAGATAATTTGGTTGTGAAGAGTTCATTATTCTTCTGAACGACATTATTAGCATAAAATTTTAGGTGAAAATTCCTGAAGTTTGTGCTGAAGTACGGTGAAAGCTCTACGACCAAACCATCGAGCTGAGGGAAATATAAAAAAAACTCCATTAGAATCATCCATCTAAGCTATAAATCTTCTCCATCATCTCAAAGTAACAATTTTCTTTTTATCAGAAGGGGTTTGTGGTGATTTTAGAAATTTCACAGATTGAAATCATGAGTCAATTGAAGCTAGACCACCATGGAAATCTGCTCACTAGTGACAGATTTCAAGAGATACTACTGGAGTTCTAGTGAGAAGTCGTTACCAGTGGAGTTTAACCAGGTCTTTTGTGAGATATCAGCTCACTGAAGACATTGGTGTACGGTGGCGCAACTTAGAGGATTGGTTGAAGTTAGACATTAACACCATTGAATGCCGGCTCAGTGGTCTAGTTGTTTAAACGCCTGGCGCGAGACTGATAGGTCCTGGGTTCGGATATCACGGGGTGCGGGGTCGTGGGTGCACAATGCTGGGGAGTTACGCAATGGGATGAAATGGCCATCCAGTGCTTCCAGGTTTCTAAAGGTGGCCTAACATCAATCGGTTCATGATCTCAATCAAAAACTTAGTAATTTCCACAACCCCTATACTGGTGACCAGAATATCCATCTACATAGTTTTGAAAGGGTCAAATAAGGTCATTATTCTATTTCGTTTTATTCAATTTAATTGATAGCAGACATGTGTTAGAATAAAGTCACATCATTTAAATTGATTTATTGTATACTTTGTCACTTTTACCCAACAGAATTATAACTCAAAAAAGGGTTTTGTGGATATTATAGTAATTTTAACAGTTGAAGTCACGAGTCAATTAGAACTAGACCACTATGGAAAACTTGGAAGCATTGGAAGGCCGTTTCGTCCTAGTATGGGACTCCTCAGCAGTGCATATCCACTATCCCGTCTTTGAGAGATTCAAACCCAGGATTTAGCAATTTCGCGCACGAGCGCTATATATAAATCTGATCTTTTGTATACGACAAAAGTTATAGAAATTTAAGACCACGATCTTCATCATGGTGTTTAAAAGTAGTTTATAATACTGTGAATGATTTATAGAGTAGAAAATTCTTAGTAAATGGTTTTTTACTAGTTCTTTTTGCTCTGCTTACTTTTCGTCCGCTTCCCCTCCGCTCACCTGTTTGTTATTTACTATTTATGTATTCAAATCGATTACGGATATACTTACGTAATTGTTAGTGATTACCATTTTTCAATAGTTGAGATCATGAATCAATTGAAACTAGACCACCATGGAAAACTTTGAAGCACTGGAATGACGTTTCGTCCTATTGTGGGACTTCTCAGTAGCGCGCATCTACGACCAAGACTCTCGGGGCTGATTGGCTTCAAGAGGTATATCCTGGAGTTCTAGTGAGAAGCAGTGACCAGTAGTGTTCAACTAGTTACTCACGGATGACAATGGTGGATGCGTCGCTCAATTTCGTGGATTAGTTGAAATTAGACTTTAACACCGTTGGATACCGATCCGCTGGTCTAGAGGTTAAACGCTCGCGTGTGGGGCTGGCAGGTCCTGGGTTCGAATCCCGCGAGGCGGAATCCTGTGTGCACACTGCTGAGGGGTCCGATACCAGAATAAAACGACAATTCAGTGCTTCCAGGATTTCATGATGGTCTTCAAGAACGTATACTAAGATCTATTGAAGCCTTAATTATACGGAAACTGAAACTCCCTTTATGTGTTCAAAAACAATTTGTCCTTACCCTGATAATGCTGATTATTATCCAGAGTGGTAAACACATTGTTTCTGTGTACTTTATTTTTCTTTGTTACACTTTACCTTTAATCGGTCTAGTTGACCTTCTAAAAATGTCAGAGCAAGTGTATTATGTGTAATCAGATTGTTCGAAATGTATAATGCAAATACATAACCACATAATTCTTCTAATAACCTTCGTCTTCTCACTACATCATCAAAATTTATCAAAGGGGCTGAGACTGATAGGTCCTGGATTTGAATGTCACTAGGCGGGATCATGAATATGCACAGCTGAAGAGTTCCACAATAGGACGAAATGATCATCTAATACTTCTAGGTTTTCAATAATAATCTAACTTTCATTGACTCATACATTTAACTATTACTAATTGTTATATTCTTTAAATTAAATAGGTTTCAATGAAGTTACAACGAATTCCGATAATACTCAATTCATTCTATCAACAATAAATAGTCCAAATAGTTTAAATACAAATGATGAAAATCATAAAGATAATGAATTACAAGAAGATAATAGTGATAACGATAATGATGATGATGATGATGATGAATATTCTGAAATGAATTCAAATGGATCTTTATATTCAACGCATTCAATAGATCCATATCATAAATTAACATTTATCAAGAAAAAATCAATAATCTCATCAAAATTTGAACATTCTAATGAATCACATCGATCATATCATCCTCATTATCATGATCATGATCATGATCGTCATCATCATCATCATAAAGAATATGATCTTAATCATGATATGAATAAATCAAAGAAACCGCGTAAATCTAGAACAGCATTTACTGATTTACAATTAAATGAATTAGAGAAAATGTTTGATCATCAAAAATATTTAAGTGTACAAGATCGTATTGAATTAGCTGAACGATTACATTTAACAGATACACAAGTTAAAACATGGTATCAAAATCGTAGGTTAGTTTGTTTTATTTATATAATTTATAATGTTTAGACCATTACGGAGAACCTGGAAGTACTAGACGACTTGTTTCGTCCTATTTTGGAGTTCTTCAACAGTGAGCATTCACGATCCCGTATATTATTTATTAAAGTTGAAGATTAACACTGTTGGATACTGTATCATGCGTTTACTCGTAAAACCGATAAGTTCTGTGTTGGAATCTCACGAGGCGGGATTGTACTAGGATGAAACGCCCGTCCAGTACTTTCAAGTTTTCCATAGTGGTCTAACTTGAATTGATTTATGATCTCAAATAGCAAAATTACTATAATATCTACAGAAATCTCCTCTGATACTAATCATCATATGCTCACTAGTGATTAGCTTCAAGTGGTATTTCCTGGAGTTCTAGTCAGAAGCAGTGAATAGTGAAGTTCAACCGGGTCTGTTGTGAGATAGTAACTGACTGAAGACATTGGTGGATGGTGGTTCAATCTCGTGGGTTGGTTGAAGTTAGACATTAAAATTGTCAGATACCGGTCACCTCAATGATCTAGAGGTTAAGTGTTCGCGCGAGAGTCTGATAAGTCCTAGGTTCGAATCTCGCTGCGCAAGATCATGTATAAGCACTGTTAAGGAGTCCCATAATAGGGTGAAACAGTCGTCCAGTGATTCTAGATTTTACATGGTGGTCTAGTTTCAATTCACTCATGATCTTAATTATTAAAATTAATATTTAATTTGTTCAGAAATAGGGATTCATCTTGACAGAGTTCTTTGGTAAAATGTGACAACCATACATTAAATACGCAACTTGCAAACCTTCCATCAGTTGTTATTTATATCCCTGATGATTCTTCCATTTCTCAGTTCTGTTATGTTTCCCTTACTGTTCTTTTTTCTTCAGTTCAATCTTCTTTTAACAGGCATTTCATATACGATTGACGTTACATACTACTTATTTCTGACTATATAAGTAGCGCACACTACATATATACTAATACTACATTTTATAAAAAGCGGCCAATTGTATTAGATTGAATATCTAGAAAGATAAACTTTAGATGACACAGTTTTATGGACGTTATCTTTTAATTGTAGAAAATATTCATCACCGATTAGCTTCAATTACGGTACCGCTGAAAATCAGGGAACATTAGACAATTGTTTAGCCGAATTATGGTACTCCTTAGTGTAGTGTGCATCCAAGACCCTATCACAAGGGGATGAATGTAAGATCGTCAGTGTTACGTGTAAACACTTAAAACACAATTTACTGATTCAAGATACAATGGATGGGTAGCTTATAGAGAAATATTAATCTAAATGGATTACAGTTCAATAGTTTAGAGGTTCAACTTTCATGTTTGACTCTCGGTTTCGGCATTGTGAATGTACACTTCCGAGGTGTCTTGTATTAGAACAAAATAACTATACAATGCTTTCATGTATTCAATGACTTGTCAAACAATGACTTGGTGTTGTTTACTTGTATCTTCACATTTTTATTTAGGACTGAAATCTATCAGTCTCTTGTTGACATATATGCTTTCTGTGTGGATTGCCTTGATATAGCCTTAAGTTATAAGCTTAATAAGCAAAGATGGAGTTATAATTTCACCACATTGCTGGCTATAAAGACTCAACAGCTAAGTGGATAATGTGATCATATTTGAAGCGAGTGGTATTGGGTTCGAGTCCCCAAGTGTACATCAACTCTGTGGTGCAGGTACACCCAGATGAAGAGTCTCAACTAGGACGAAACATGTGTCCTGATCTCCACTGCTAGTCACTATGCATCTTAATCACATATCATAATTTAAACTTACTGAAATGATGTATAGTTTTACATTATACCTTCGATTTTTTTTCTAATTCTAGAACAAAATGGAAACGTCAAACTGCTGTCGGTTTTGAATTACTCGCTGAAGCTGGTAATTTTGTAGCAGTTCAACGTATTTTACAAACGAATCCATATTGGGCATATCATCCAGCAGCACAAACTATTCTAGCTAATATGGAAGCAATAATGAAGAAGAAAACTGATTTCAATATAACTGATGAATTAAAACAAACCAATCATAATGATAGTAAAATGAATTATTTTAAGCAAATGAATCATAATGAACATATTATTACCAATACTACTAATACTACTAATATTAGTAGTAGTCCTACTACAACCACTACTACTAACACTACTACTATTACTACTAATACTACTTATAATCATCATTCAAGATTAAATGATCAAGAGTCACTTTCTTTTAAATCGATTGAATTCAATCATCAAATACCATCTTCATCATCCGCATCCTCATTATTATTCCAATCAAATGATCTTAATCATCAATTAGAAAATTCTTCAAAACTAAATTCATCAATGAAATTACCAATCACTATAGGAACTTCTACTTTACCATTAAGAACTACTACAACAACTACGACGACGACGACTACGACTACTACTACTACTGCCACAAATACAGTAGATAGTACATCATTAGCGGAACTTCCAGATTGGTGGCCTTTTAAATCAACTATAAAAGATTTAATACAATATCAAAATACATTGTCTTCTTCTTCAACTATTACCACTCCTACTACTACTCCCACTACTACTCCTACTACTCCTGCTATCTCAACATTATCCTATTGTCCTATAGTGAATTCATCTATCATAGATACAACTAAATTATTACAATTGGATTTATCAATGAATTCAACAATATCATCATTTAATCTACAACCTTATACATCAATGAATCTATGGTCAACATTCAATACAAATGATCTATTATCAATTACACAAAATATACCATTATTTAATAATTTATTACGTCATCATTGTATCATAACAAAAGATTAATAATAATAGTATGTAATTATGATACATTGATTGTTTCCTTGATAGAATATTGATTATTGATTTATTGGGGTTGTTTTTGGATGACGTTTTATTCTCTGAACATAAACATTCAGATCAGAATCTTGATCATTATACTAATGATAATGTTGTTTAGTAGAACAATAAACGGTTCATTGATACAAACCATCTAGCTCAGAGACTAACAATAACAACAACAGAAAAGAAAGAAGGAACTCTATCAAAATCATCTATTTGAGCTACAAATCTTCATCATCATCTTAGAGTGATTATTTAAATGAATGAACGATGTTGATAGGAGTGAGAACTTTTCCCTACCCCTCCTCCCACCACAAACACACACACATCACAATCCAATTTTATGTGCAAATCTATAAGAGTGAAGTGTAAATTAACTTTTCCTCTCTTATTATTATTATTATTATTATTATTATTATTATTATTATTATTAATCAATAATATTGTTGCCAGGACTTGTATTGATCTCGGTTTAATTTACTTTAGTTACTATGTTCAATTCATTATTTATTCATTTAACTTGTACAAAAAAATTACTTTTATTGCTTTTTTTCTTTTTCTTTCTTTTTATTTTGTTTTATTCTTTATCAAAATTATCTCATGAATTTTTTGTTTAAAAATTGAATAAAATATAGTTTAATTTTGAATGATGAATTATTAAGATGACAATTATCGATATTAATAATAAAACTCTCCCTCCTCCTCCTCCTCCTCCTCCTCCTCCTACTACTACTACTACTACTACTACTACTACTACTACTACTACTACTACTACTACCACTGTAGTGATCAAGAACAGTAGTGGGGACAATCGGATGCACAACCTCGCTCGCGTGGTTCGAACGCAATTATCAGTGTAGGGGTTGTGGAGATTATTAGGCTTTTGCTGTTAATTACCATATGCTGACTAGTAACTAACTTCGTGAATGAATTTTCAGAGTTCTAGTGAGAAGCCGTGACCAGTGAAGGTAATCCATGTCGGGTAGAGACAGGTATCTACCTCATTACAATGGAAGATGGTTACGCAATTTCGTGGATTGGTTGATGTTAGATATTAACACCATTCAATGCCGCCTCAGTTGTCCAGTAGATTGTGTTCGTGCGCAAGGCTGGAGGCCGTAAGTTCGAATCCCGTGAACGTGATCGTGGATGCCCATTGCTAAGGAGTCCCACAATAGGGTGGAACGTCTGTCCAGTGCTTTCAGGTTTCCAACGATGGTCTAACATCAATCAGTCCATGATCTCAATCAAAAACAATTGATTGATTTGAGGGATTTTTTATTTTATTAAATTGTCGAGGAGTCCCACAATAAGATGAAACGGTCGTCCAGTGCTTAGAGGTTTTTCATGCTGGTCTAGCTTCAACTGACTCATGATCTTAACTATTGAAAAGATAGGGTATATGTTTTATTGATGGAAGGAAACAATTATAAAGATGATTAATATTTGTAAAATTCAGTTCACCTCTTGGCAATATTCACGTGATTAATACTTAGTGATTAGTTACTGTGAATATATCAGTTATATGAAAGATCAATGACTGGTTGAATAACTTTGTATTGACATCTTACAATATGAAATTGAATGGCTTGAATTTAAATTCTTTATATAGTACTGGTTCCTTGAAGATTCCAGGTATACTTTGATGAATAGTGCCAGATAGTATGATCCGTTGAAGTAGAATTTTATTGCAAATTTAAATTATCTGAGAAGTACTTGGTTAATTGCCTTAGTAAAAGGCTCAACTTCAATCTACACTTGTAATATTCATCTGTGATAAACACTAAGTCAATAATTATTAAAGTACAGCCTGGGATTAATAAAGATTGGCAGAAGGTACCATATCATTGTACCACCATGAGATGAAATTAACACTGTGACCAGTAAATGAGCTTTAAAGGATGTAGTAGCAATCATAACAAAAAGGACTGAACAATGAGTATATGTTTCAAAGAAAAATAAAATGGAATAGAAAGGTATGTATGAATAAATACTTACAGCGACAACTCATATATCGAAGATTAAAGATAAGAAAGCACTGTACGGCCGTTTCGTCCTATTGTGTGACTTCTCAGAAGTGCGCATCCATGATCCCGTCTTGTGAGATTCGAACCCAGGATCTATATGTCTCATGTACGAATACTTAACCTTTTAATCTAGTGAGCCGGCATTCAATGGTGTTAATTTCTATCTTCGATCACTCCAGTACTTCTAGGTTTCCCATGATAGTCTAGCCAAAATGGACTTATGAATTCAACTATTAAACTACTAAAATCTCCATAAAACCTCCCTATCTAATTGATTTTATTTGAAAATATGAGATATTAGATAGTGATTTGAAATGTAAGATAATCACTTGAAATTCTGAAACTCATTCATTTAATCCTTGGATAAGTTATAGATGTTAATTGTTGAAAATCCCCACCTCGTCTAGTACTTTCTAGTTATCCTATAATATCCTAGATTATATCATTTCAATAGAAAATCTAATTTTCATTTTGTTATAAATAACTAATGGAATCTACGATGTGTGTTTCGTTCTAATTGGAACTCATCAGTTTGAATCACTTGAATTCTTATTTCTCTAAACACGAATGTGTCAGGATGAAATGCACTTCTTGGATTCCATTGTTCACAACAAATCCACTTCAGAATATATTTATTATGAACAGAGATTGGTCAGTTGAAATGCAGTTACAACATAGTAACTATGTGTGTGTGTGGGGGGGGGCTACAAAGTTTTGTTCATGAACTTATCAAACAAACTGATCAGAATGACATGACAGTTCATTCTAATTTTATTAGGTTAACATAAACTACTGAGTATAAGCAAAGATGGATAGTGGATAGCAGTGGAATCCAAGAATCGCTTTTCGTCTTATTTGGACGATGTATCTGCATCTCAGAGTTGATGTTCACTCTGGGATTCGAAGATACAAGTAAAGAACACCAAGTGAATACTGATTATAACCTGTAATATTTTAAAGGATAAAGTTGAAAATGCTTACAGAAATGAATATAGTTATGAGTTAGTTAAAATACGTATTGTCATAGTTAGTACAACTGTAAGACACTGAAAATATGGAACATTGATAGCAATGATTGATTAAAGGACAAGAAATAAGTGATTATATAATTAGGTTTCAGTCAAATGACAACAATAGAGTAAAACTTTGCCGTTGTGAGATTTCATATCATCGGTCAAGGGTTGTGGAGATTATTGAATCTATTCAAGTACGATAATCACTGAAAGTCTGAGTCTTGGGTTTGGTTCTCGGTTCCAGAATCATACATCAGCACTACTGAGCAATTATATACCAGAAGAGAACAGCTGTTTAGTGCTTCTAGGTTGTCAATGATTTGTTTAGTTATTTGAACACATAAACAGGCATGAAATAGATATGCTTCACATAAATCATTCAATTTATGTGAAGGCTGCGATACTGTTCGGGTTTTCAAACCGAAACAGGTGGTTTTCTTAGATGAACTATCCAGACTAGTTGTGTTTTTATTTTTATTTATTTGAACACATAGATGTTGGTACAAAGGAGGACCAGATACATTATGCGCCACCCAAATCTCATTTGATTTGTGTACGGGATGTAATTCTTCCCCGGTTGCCCAAACCCAAGCAGGTGGTTTTCTCAGGGGGCCACAACCAGAGCCCTTGACTTAAAGGTCTAATCCACATGGCAGTGGACTAACGTAAGGAGATGCAGTCTCATGGTAGCCGGTGACCAATATTGGTTCATACACCATTTATTCTTTCAGAATCCTGAAGATCATGTGTACCGTTGGTTTGGAATGAGGGTTTTCCAACTCCCATAGGTGAACTCCATGACCACTGGGCATTCGCTTTTCGTCCTTTCAATTACGTAAACAACACCCGTGATGCGAGAAAGCAGTGAGTAGGACTTCTCTGGCGGTGGCTTCATACACATGGCCATGTGAGGGCATTTCGAGAGGGAGAGCTAACTCTCCTCACTTACGGTCGTACCAGAGCACTTGGAGGAAAAGCGATGGTTTCATCGGTAATTCAATAGTCAAGATGTTCAAATGTTAGCTAATAAGTCACAGATATAAATCTCACTTTTAAATTACCTTCAGTTTAGATAAACTCGAGTTATATACATTCAGAATAAGAGACTGATCAATTACAATTCTTAACATCCATAGAAAGATTCAAACAAACAATACAAAAATGAATAAAACTTCATCTTATTACATTTGAAGTTTACAGTAATTAGTTCGAGTCCCAAAATGAACATGAACTCTAGAATACACATATATATTCAGCTGATGAGTCCTCCTACTCCCTATCCCCCCCCCAAAAAAAAACTACGCATTCTGGATTCTTTGTACACATTCAAGTTGAAAATTTTATCAAATCAAAAAATCACCTTGTTTTCTTTTCTCTTCTGTAAGAAAAAAAAGCCCCAATTTATCTAAATTCAATAATTAATATACCCTTAAACATATGGACAAACATACTACTGATTAATTTATTAGATAAGTAGTCACTTATTCATTTATTCATTAATATTGAGTAAACTTTTAAAGAAAAAAAATTAGACAAAATTTTATTAGAGGAACATTGCGCGCGCGTGCGTGCGTGCTTGTGTGTGTAAGAGAGAGAGAGGGGGGGTGAGGGTGAGAGTGGGAACGAGAGAAAAAGGGTGAAAAAAAAGTGGCACAACACAGGAAATCAACGATATAACTTCCTTGTTGTTGTTTTTCTTTTTCTTGTTTTATCTTAGACTATTAATACTACTAATACTACTACTAACAATAATAATCATAAGAACAAATAATGACATCAATTAATTTCTCTTATCGGTATCTCTATACTACTTATTCATTTAATATAATCGTTTAATAGAAAACACTAATCTTTTTATTTTTTTGGAGAAGTCAAATAAAAAAGGATATGAAATTGATTGTTCATATTTACTGTTGGGCGTCAA